TGAAAATGGGGCAGAAGGTAAATGATTTCAGGTTAATAACAAAAAGAAGTCATACTCTGTGCCCACATTTCAAAAACCTGTTGATTAACTCCATTTTTTTTTTTTTTTTTGGTACCAGGTATTGAACTCAGGGGCACTCGGCCACTGAGCCACATCCCCAGCCCTATTTTGTATTTTATTTAGAAATAGGGTCTCACTGAGTTGCTTAGTGCCTAGTGCCTAGCTGTTGCTGAGGCTGGCTTTGAACTTGCAATCCTTCTTCCTCAGCCTCCTGGGCCACTGGAATTACAGTTGTGTGCCACAGCACCCAGCTCCTTTTTTTTTTTTTTTTTAATTCTTGCCCCCTCCTCTCCTCTCCTCCCCTGGCATAGACAAATCTGTCACTTTTTATAAAGCTGTCTTTCAATAGATTTTATTTTATTTTTTTAATGTGATGCTGAGAATTGAGCCCAGTGCATCAAGTATGCTAGGCAAGGACTCTACCACTGAGCTATAACCCCAGCCCCTCAATAGATTTTATATTTGTCTTACAGTAGAACTGTGGAAGTACCCAGTGGCTTTTTTTTTTTTTTTTTTTTTGTAGTTCCTGCTTTTGAAAGTGTGTGTTCCTGTTTTTCCTACATAATATAAAAAAAGAAAAACTCTTCTGGCTCTTGGAAATTATCCACAGACCATCAAAATTCCCCTAAAAATAGAGCAAATGTTATGTTTCATAATTAAGCATTTGAGCATTATTTTGATTACAATCAAAACCACTTTCTGATCTCTAATGATTTCATGCCTTTGAAGAGTTTTTCTAATCCGTTGTTGTTTGGTTTTCGGGTTGTTTGTAGGAATGAACCCAGGACCTCCTGCATGCTATAGATGCACTTTACCACTGAGCCAAACCCCCAGCCCCCAGTTCATCTTTTTTAAATCTGGAAATATATATTAAATCTATTTTATCCAGTGATTCAGGAGGCTGAGGCAGGAGGATCACAAATTGGATGCCAGCCTGGGCAACGTAATGAGACCCTGGCTCAAAATAAGAAACAAAAAGGACATGTAGTTCAGTTGCAGAGTACCCCTGGGTTCAATCTCCAGTACCCCAAACATAAATAAATAAAAATAAAAGTAAGTAATCATAGACCTTTAAATTTCTAATGCTGAGAGAGTTCATAAAAATGTTCTAACCAGGGGCTGGGGTTGTGGCTCAGTGATAGAGCACTTGCCTAGCATGTGTGAGGCACTGGGTTTGATCCTCAGCATCATATAAAAATAAATGAATAAAATAAAGGCATGTGTCCAACTACAATTTAATTTTTAATTAATTTAAATTAATTTGTAATTAATTTTAAAAATTAAAAAAATATAAATATTCCAACCAACAGATCCCCTAATTTCACAGAAAGGAATAAAATAACTTATTCAAGGTCACCCAGCTTCCAGAGATAAGATGGGGATTTGAGTTTCTGATTCCCAGGTCAGTCTGGGGGATTAAATGTTCATCCAGTCATTTTTATTTATGGCCCATTTGCTGTGACAAGGGCTCTATGGTAACACTAGAGGATACACATTGGTGAATAAAACAGACATGGTTCTTAGCCTCCTCGCAGTGACCATTTGATGGGAGGGACTGACAAAACAAACATTCAAGTAAGAAATGAAAGATAATGAGAAATTGTGGTAGTTTTCTTGAAGGAAACTAATGAGATTATGTGACTGAGAATAACTGGATTAGGGGAAATCACTTCCATGCAGGTCAAAGAAGGCCTCACTGAAGAGGTGACTTATAGGCAGGGATGAAGACAGGAAGGACCCAATCATAGAGAAACAGATAAGGACTTGAGAGCAGTAAATTGTGCCAGAGGATAAAAAACAAGTTTTTCAGGTTAGAAGTAGTGATAAGAGGCCCTGGCAGCTGCATGGGGTGGACCAGAGGCAGAGAGGCTGGACCCCAGGCTGCAGAGCACAGTCTTCGAAAAGACTGTATTCCAAGTGCAGTGGAAACCCTGGAAGATTTTTTTCTAAGTGGAATGACCTGATCCTGCTTTATGTTTTTCAAGTTACCTTGACTTCATGGACATAGAATAAAGATAGCTTGTTTTTTGTTGTTGTTGTTGTTGTTTTGTTTAATTCTACTAAACATGATAAGAAGAAAAAGACAGCTAGTTTCTCCAGGCATAGAAAGTATGTTGCCTATGGAAATATAAGGTGACAACTTAGGAAATTTTACTAGAAAACTGAGAATTAGTTGTCATTACATCCTTTTGATTATAAAAATTGTTCTTAGGAAAATCTTTTTTTTTAATTTTTTTTAAAGAGAGAGAGTTTTAATATTTATTTTTTGGCGGACACAATATCTTTATTTTGTATATGGTGCTGAGTATCGAACCCTGGGCTGCACACATGCCAGGCGAGCGCGCTACCGCTTGAGCCATATCCCCAGCCTCCCTTAGGAAAATCTTTGAGACTGCTAACTGAACACTTGGTACTTTGCAAAGAAAGATGATCTTTGTCTTTACAGAGCTAGGCGGTTGGAAATATAGGCCAATGGAAAGAAGGCAAGAGAGTACATTATTACAGGTAAGAGTAAAATCTGTCTTTTGGAATTCTCTAGTTCTAAAACTCTCTCTCTGCTCTGTGTGCATACAACACCCATAGTCTTCAATATTACAGCCCAATCACAAAAACTTCTGTGATTTTTTTTATGAACAGCATTTAAGAATCTTGTCTCAAAATTTCGGTAACATTCTATAATGTCCTAGTAGCAAAGGGACCCCAAAGGCTTCAGAGTTTCTCTGAAGTTGCTAACCTGATGTGTGTTGGTAGAAAGGGCCATAAGGAACGTGTTCCAGAGAAATTGATAAACATGATTATAAATCTCAATTCCAGATCTTCAGACATGATAATCAGGAGAGGCCTAAGAGATCCACTGATCCGCTTCGTTCACTTTACAGACGAAAGATTGAGACTCAGTGAGGTGGAGGTCACAATAGCTGATTGGTGACAGTGCTCTGAGCTCAGACAGGCTCCTATCTCCAGGAGCACTTCCATTCAAGAAGATCATCCAGGAGGGGGTGTCTCACATCCCATGAGACAAGAAAAGCTGAGCAGCCTTCCAAAGACAGCTCTAGAGATACTCTCACTGGAAAGAGAGTCTTCCCTGTAATTCTTGTCCAGCCATCAGCTATTTACTGAGGATCTACTATATACCAAAGTTATTAGTGCCATGGAAATACATAAAGGTCCTAAATGAAATGATTATAGGAAAACAGTTCCTGCTACTCTGCATGTTGTTCTCATAAGCTAAAAAAAAAAAAAAAAAGTTCAGAAAGAAAAGCACTGGCATAGAAGAGTGGACAGGAACAGGAAGGATGTTCCAAGCGGGAGGATCAGCATCAGCGGTGATATTCAGGTAGGGGTAATAGAAAAGAAAAGAAAAACAGTTTCTGTGCATTGTCATCAGTGAACAACAATTGTGAATGACAAGGACGTTTGAGCATTAGTAAGGAGAAAGGAGTGGAAATAATCTTATATGAAAGGAGCCAGACTAAGGAGAGCCTCGGAAGTCAGGTAGTCAGGTTAGATCAGTGAACAAGATAGATTTGGCCTGCCAGGGGATGAAAACATAAGCATCTAGAATGTTGGAAAAAAAAGATTGGTATTCTTGCCGGGTAGAGTGGTTCATGCCTATCTATACTCCTAGCAGCTCAGGAGGCTGAAGCAGGAGGAATGCAAGGTTGAGGCTAGCCTCAGCAATTTATAGGGAGTCCTTAAGCAACTTAGCAAGACCCTGGCTGGGGATGTGGCTCAGCGGTAAAAACACCTCTGTGTTCAATCCCCAGTACCAAAAGAGAGAGAGAGAGAGAGAGAGAGAAAGTATTAATATTCTGAGAAGTGAGCAAAAACATAAACTATATAAAACGTAATAAATTTGTGAGTAAGCATTGAAGATTTACTGAGCCCTGGCTTTGTAGAAGGAATTAGGCAGGGTAAGATGTCTACGACATGGTCTTTTTTTTTTTAATATTTATTTTTTAGTTGTAGTTGGACACAATACCTTTACTTATTTTTATGTGGTGCTGAGGATCGAACCCAGGGCCTTGCACATGCTAGGTGAGCACTCTACCACTGAGCCCCAGCCCCAGCCCCCAAGACATGGTCTTTTATTGGTCAAATAAAGTATGACACATCCATACAGTGGCACAGCATACCACCACTAAAAAGAACATGGAAGCCAGGAGTGGTGGTTCACACCTGTAATCCCAGCGGCTAGGGAGGCTAAGGCAGGATTGCAAGTTTGAGACTAGCCTTAGCAATTTATAGTGAGGCCCTAAGTAACTTAGAAAGACCCTGTCTCAAAATAAAAAATTAAAAGGGCTAGGGGTATGGCTCAATGTTAAAGTCCCCCTGGGTTCAATCCCCAGTACATAAATAAATAAATAAACAGGGCAACAGGGCACAGTGGTACACACCTGTAATTCCAGCTACGAGAGAGGCTGAGGCAGGAGGACTGCAAGTTCAAGGCCAGCCTAGCCAATTTAGCAAGACTGTCTTAAAAAAAAAATTAAAAGCTGTATGCAGGGTAAAAATGGGAGTTCATAATCTGCTTGAATCAAATGTATGAAATATGATATGTCAAGAGCTTTGTAATGTTTTGAACAACTAATAATAAAAAATAAAATTAAAATAATTAAAAAAAAAAA